TTCTGCCATTCCTCATTTCCCTACCCTGAGGGGTCATTTTCCCTCCAGCAGCAGAGAGCTGCTGCTGGTGCTGGTGGCACTGGGCTGCTGGCAGTTCTGTGAGTGCTCACAGCACTGCTGAAGCATTTGGCTGCTTCTCAGAAACAACTCCCATTCTGGGAAGAGATCTGGGATCACTGCCAAAACCTTCCCTGGTCCCAAGAAAGAAAACTGAGCTGAGAATTCAATTTCTGTCATTCCATTGCAGGCTGCCACAGCCCAAGGGAAGGACAGCACTCAGTTGCTTGCAGCCATGTTATCAGCACTCAGAGCCCACCCTCATTACTGCCAATCCCCTTGATGGTGCAATGAAAGTATTAGGGACCAGATATTGGGGTGCTGTGATCCTCTTTCCAGCCCTTCATTAGGGCTCATCCTCCTCCTCCTCCTCACACATGGAAGCATTTGTGTTTGTTTTTACCTGACCCCACCCCTCTGGGCAACCTGTGCCAGGTCCTCACCACCCTCTCAGGGAAGGATTCCTTCCCAATATCCAATCTGAACCCACCCTCTGTCTGTGGGAAGCCATTCCCCATTGTCCTGTCACTCCATGCTCTTGTCCAAGGTCCCTCTCCACCTCTCCTGGAGCCCCATCATCTCCTGGATCATGAAGGGGCTGGGCTGTGGGAGATGTGAGATTCCATAGCTGGGGACAAAACATGGTGTCAGCAGGGAAGAGAGGTGACAGTTCTGGTCCCGGGGCCGGCAGTTTCCAGCAGAAGCATTCCAAATCCCTGAGGCACATGTCAGCCTGTGTTGGCATCATCTCACCTCAGCTTTCTAGGAGTTCCTTGAATTCACTGTAGGCTGCAGTCTGACTGCCAAGGGAGTGTGGAAGATGACTCAGGGGAACCCTGCAACTTTCTAAGGATTAAAGCCAGGAGAGCAGCATTGATTTGCCTCTTCTCAGCAGAAATTACATTGCTGAAATCCTAAGTCATCCCTCTGCTCTGTTCCTGTGCTCCATCTCAGGCACAGAATTGATTATTGCATGAATCCTCTTGGAAAATGCATGGTGAAGGTCCAGGGTCACTGAAATTGCAGTATACATGTGGGAAAAATAGATTTGAAGCAGAAATCATATGTTTTGTCCTGCAGAGTCCTAAAAATCTCCCTGTGGAATTATAGGGGGCAATTTGAACTCATTCAATGACGTGATTTCATAGTTAGTGTTTCTAAGAGGAACCTGACACAAACTGCTTTTCCCAGAAGGAATGAAGAGCTCTTGGAACTGTCAACAGACAGCTCATTTCAACCATAGCAGGCACCAGCCTTAGGAAGAGCTCTGGAGTGAGACAGATACCTGACCTCCTCACAGACAAGCCAGAGGCTTTAGAATGGGGAAAAACAAGTAAGTGAGCCATTTTTGGACACTGTTTACCAGTGACAAGCTGTGCAGCAAAGCCCAGATGTTGTTTATTCAATAAAATCTGGGGCCGGAGTTACCACATTGAAAAATAACACAAGGCAGAAATCGGAATCTGATTTAGGGGGAGTAACAAAATGAAAATGATCAGTATAGCAGAGTTTATTCCTTGGGGCTAAGGCAATGAGGGTCATTCCATGGGGAATACAGGAACAGGACTGAGTACAGAGCCATGTTTTCCCATCTTTCTGGCTTTCTCTGAGGTGCCGCATCTCCAGAAGTGCCTCATGTGCAGAAGTGCCTCAGAGAGCTGTCACCTCCACCACAGTGTCCCCAGGGCCGTGGCTCCCCTCGTCACTCTGAGCTTTCTCCTCAAACACCCTCCGCAGAGCGACTCTAACGGAGCGCTGGAAGCGGCGCCGCCGGCAGCTCCCCACCAGCACGTAAATCACCGGGTTGACGGAGCAGTTCAGAACTGCCAGCAAAATGGAGGTGTGTTCTGGGAATAAAGCGCCAGAATCAGGGAGATGGAGGAAAACCTCCACGCAGAAAGGGATGCCGAAGGCGAAGAACAGCAGGACGTTGAGCAGTATGGCCACAAAGAGCTTCCCTGGCTGCTGCCTCCGGGAGCCACAGCGCAGCTTGAGGAACAGGAGCAGGTTGGAAACCAACATCATGAGGGACAAAATCACGGAAATGGCAAGGGCTACACCTGCAATGATTTTCACAGAGTCTTTGGTGTAGGTGAGGTAGAGGGAGGAAGCAAAAACCCCTGCGAGGGTCCAGAGGGCCCCGCTGACGACGCCCGAGAGGTGCCGGGGGCGGTGGCAGCGGTACCAGATGGGGCAGAGGACGGAGACGCAGCGCTCCACGCTGAGGGCTGCCAGCAGCCCCAGGCTGCTCAGGTCAAACAGGTGGCACAAGAACCCCAGGACAAACACAAAATATCTATACTGATGAATAAAAGGAAACAAAGATATGCAAAATGTTTTTAAGGTCAGAAAAGCCAACATAATCAGGAGAAACAGAAGGAGCAGGGAGAAGTCAGCAACAGCCAGATTCAGGATGTAGACAGTGAAAGGACTCTGCTTTGTGTGGAAGCCCAGGAACCACACGACCACCCCATTCCC